ATGAGTGAGTTACTCTAATATGCATGATCGATCTGGTTTAAAATATCAATGGTTTTACAAGTTTGAGTAGTACACTCTCAGACGCCACTCGCAAACGTGCTGGATCTAGCTTTTTATTCATTAACAAACTCACATATAACAGGATAAAAAGCCTAGCAGGTTCGGGGTACGGGCTGGATCTAGCTTTTTATTCATTAACAAACTCACATATAACAGGATAAAAAGCCTAGCAGGTTTTGGGTTTCACCCATGTTTTACCGGTCTTTGAGGGCCGTTTTGCCAACCGCCAACTGACATAAACGAAATCGAAATTTATTGTGGAAAATTTGGATTTTATGAGGGAGAAAAAGGCGAGGCAGAGGGTGGACAGTGGTACAATGCATTGGTGGGATGAAGGTGCTAGCTTGTCTGAGATAGGAAGCTTCGATGTGAAGTACTTGTTGCCATCTCTGCTCCCCAATTCCAATTCAATGAACGTTCACTCGTTTTGAAACGAGCGAACACTTTCATCCTGCCGTGCGCATCCCTACCACTCCTACTGCAAGGGCTTTCCTGCATGCTTGTGTGAAGCAAGCAATAATTTTTTTCAACACTCCCGCATGCATGCGCCCACTCCTGCCGCGCGCACGCGCTTCTTTCTCTTTATTATTATTCTTTTTATTTTATGTAGTTATTGTTTTATGTGATTTTTTGTTTTCTTTTCATTTTTTACATTTTTTTATCCTTCTTTTTTTTATCCTTCTTTTTTATTTGTTTTTGACAGTGTTGACAAGTTGTATATAATAACTCATGTACACAAGTTGTGTTTGATAACTTTTGTACATTAGTTGTGTTTCTAAGTGTTTCTTTTATTTTTTTATTTCTACTTTTTTCCTTTGCCTTTTAAATCTTTTATACATTAACTTATGTAATTTTACATAACCATATTTTTTTATATTTATGCTAAAATGTTATGATATTAATTTGCACATAATAACTTATACTCCCAACTTTACATCTAAGTTACTAATCAAGTTATATATCTAAGTTATACAAACAAGTTATTATATAATATAAGTTATCAATGTTGAGTTGTACATACAAGTTTGTTCATCTATATCTGATAAATCTAACTTTTTACATGCAGGTCATCTAATTTTGTCACGTAGTAAGTTATATGTATAAGTTATGTACATTACTTATCACATAAAAGTAATATATATAAGGTATACGCATAACTTGTGACGTAAAAAATTCTTCGAAACATATGCAAGTGAGGTTAGTTTTGTTCGTCTCGTCGTGTAGAACACACTGGTGAGAGGCGGAATTAAAAACGGACACATCGCTTATAAGTTATAGCAATTAGATTTTTTTTTGGTTGTGGCAGCGCTGACATCAGCATGCGCGGGGGTGTTGTTGGGGTTGAGCGGGCAGCCGAGAAGCCAAAAGAGAATGACTGAGCATGCCCCGCCATCCAAAATAGAAAAAAGGTAAAATTATTTTTTTCCCTAAAAAAGGAAACAAATGCATGTTAGAAATTTGTTCGCTAGATTTAATTTCAATGAAAATTCGCTATTTAGACCTTCTTCTTTTCGCGACTACGCAAAAGATTTGCGCAGCATTGCTATTTAGTCTGACCGCCTGTGCTCCAAGGTCCCGTTCTGACTTGTAACGGTATATCAAACAAAACAGGTGGAGTATATTCGACACAAAACAAAGAAGAGATTGATGAATATGAGTGCGCGCACGAACGAACGACGGAACGAGCACGTCGTACGGTGACGCAGGACGGGATTGATTGCGTGTCACGAGAATCATGTCGGCAGCAGCAGCAGTCCACCACAAGGAGTAGCAGAATGTAGGAGTATAGTACTCCTACTGCTACTCCCTGCGAGGTCTGAGTTCGTGGTTTCCCTGTCCCGGGAAAGCGGCTTCGTGCTTTTGGAAAAGCCGCCTGCTAGTGGTATGTGGCCGCTTCTTGGGATACCGTATCGGAGCAGCGATCATGAGGGCGTGTCACGAGGAGGGCAGCCGTGTCGGGACCGTGTCCGAGCGCACGACCCAAAAGAGAGCCGCGAGTTGGGAGACGAGGAGTAGCCGTGGCCGACTGGCCATGGAGAGCTGAAAGTGAGATCCCCGCCTGTCGCGTCTATGCCTGCCGGTTCTGTTCGCAAGTCGCAACGACGACAGCCAGCCACCGCATCGCGTGTCACGAGGGGAGTCATGGATGCGAGCTCGCGACTCGTTTGAGCCATGGCGATGGCGGTCGAGCACCGACGACCGGCTCCTGGTCCGGGCGGCGAGTGAGGCCAAAAAGGGAAGGCGCCTGCCACGCCCATCCCATGCGTACACGTCCCTGCTCTGCAGACTGCAGGGTGCAGTGGAGGCTCACGGCTGTAACGCCGATACAGAAATCGCAGCGAGACATACTCCTACTCCGTACGTACGCCCGGGCACAGTACACGCACGACGGGATCAGATTTGCGATCAGTGATCCCCCACACCCACAGGCCACAGGCGGACAGCCGGACAGGCCACGGCGCCCCACCGAGACAGAGCTCGAGCTGCGCCATGTACAGCGAACTGATCGCGGCCGTGTCAGGCGGGGCCTCACCCTCACCCTCACCCTCCCTTGACGTCGACGAGCGCCCACGCACAGAGGGGCAGGGGCTGAAAAAGGCGAGAAATTTCCCTTCAATGCGGCAGGGGAGGGCAGCAGAAGTGCAGGAGGCAATTTATTAACGCGAGAATGAGCGCACGGGCCAGGCCACACGACACCCACACGACGGCAGCAATCATGGCCGCCCTCGCCAGTCGCCAGTCGCCCCGCGAGAGGATTCGAAGCAAGAAGCGGCGCACCCGTGTGTGATACGGTGACATAGCCGTTGGGGGCCGCCCGGGGCACAGCCGGACAGACTAGGCATGTGTTTGGTTTTGGTACGATGTGGGTTGGGTTGGAGCCGACCCACTTTTATGGGTTGGAGCTGACCCATCTCGTGTTTGGATGAGTCGGTTGGAGCCGATCCAGTCTTTTGTTTGGTTGAAGAGGTTGAGAGGGTTGGAATGGATGTCCTTTTAACACCGTTAGTTCTGGACCTCACCTGTCAGCTACGGGGCCCACCAGTCAGCATCTTCTTCTTTTTCCTCCCTTCCTCTTCTACCTTCTTCCTCCTCCCCGCATGGCTCCTCTCCTGGCTCCTCCCACATGCCCCTGCTCTCCCTCCGACGCGGGCTGCCTCCCCAATTCCTCCCCGACGCCGTGCCACCTCCGGCTCCACCCGACGCCGGGCGCTGCCACCCCGACTCCTCCCCGGCGCTCCCTCCCGGCTCCTCCCCGGCCGCTCCCTCCCTCCCGGCCGCCTCTGTCGGCCGCTCCCTCCCTCCCTCCGTCGGGCGCCGCTCGCTCCCTCCTCGCCGCACCGCGCCAGGCCGCTCCTCCCGCACACGGACGTGAGCGTGCAACGGACGGACGCAACGTCCGTCGATGCAGGTCGATGCAACGTCCGTCGAGGGCTAAGGGCCAGGGGCTCGTCCCGCGTCGGAGGGCGGGGGCCGGGAGCCGGAGGTCGCACGGAGCTGCGCCATGGCCGAAGCATCCGGACATCGCTGGGCGCCGGAGGTCGCCCATGCCGGCGATGGAGAAGCATCCGAGCAATCCGCGTCTGCGCTCGCCAACGGAGATGCAACGACGTCCATCTGGGTCGAGATGATTTCTCCGATTTGGAGGTACCCAACGAACCCGTATCTAGAGAGAATATACCTTGTGCGGAATGAACCCAACCCACTAATTCTAGAACCAAGCAACAGATCATGTGGGACGAACCCGGGATATCCCAGTTGAACCCCAAACGGTAGGTGGGTGACTGATGCCCGGCACGGAGAGCACGACGCCACGACGGTGTGCGGCCGGGGCAGGAGGCAACCGTGCGGCCGCCGAACGCTCCGCCCACGCCGCGGGTAGGTACCGATCCGCTCGCTGGTCGCTACACGGCGAGAGCAAAGGTAAATCCAAGCAAAACAACGCAGGAAGGAACAAAAACGAGATGCCTGCTCGATCGTGCAGTTGTGCCGCTTGACAAAGCGTCTGTGCTCGTGCTCATGTGCTCGCACGCATGCCATGCAGATGCAGCTCGTTGGCCAAGTCGCCTATACTTTGTACTAGTAGTAGTACACCAAAAAGCCGCGGCGCTTTTCTTCCTCCTCATGCACAGAGAGACAAAAGAATTTTTAGCAGGCAGCAGTACAACTACACAAGCACGCTTCAGCCTTCAGCTTTCGTATGGTTCCCTAACCCCCGACCCGGCCGACGCAAGGAGCCAAAATCTCACCTGCGCAGCCGCACCCGCAGCCGCAGCCGCACCCGCACGGGCACCGGCACGGCACACACACAGCGCTCCGCCGATCGCCACACTGCCGCGCTTCCCGTCCGGGGCCGGCCCGCAGGGGATCCGCGGCCACGCCTCCACCCTGTTTTGGCTCATACTAAGGGCGCGTTTAGATGCAAAAATTTTGTTACGGTAACACTTTCGTTTGTATTTGACAAGTAGTGTCTAATTATGGACTAATTAGGTTCGAAAGTTTCGTCTCACAATTTCTCACCCAACTGTGTAATTAATTTTTTTTATCTACATTTAGTACTCTATGCATATGCCGCAAGATTCAATACGATGGGCTGCGCAAAAAATTTTGGAAACTGAACAGGCCCTAATACGTACGTGAAAATACTGTGCAGGAAAACACTTCCATGACTGAAAAGTGAAAAGCAAGTAGTTCTGAATAAAGAACTAGAGACCGGCGGCATCTGCGGGCGGGAGCGGGACGCAACCAATCCGCGCCACACGTACTACCAGCCAGGACAACCAGCCACCAGGACCAACACACCGGCCTCGAGATTCCCGCGAAAGCAACATCCCTTCAGCGTCTCCTCCTCGCTCTCCGGCGCGGCTTCCGAGACCGGCCGGCGTGGCCCCGGACGAAAGTAGGGAGGGCCCCCCGCCAATACATCATTCCCACGCTGCCCATCACGTGACGCGCCGGCGACCACGGAGAGCGGCCAGCCAGCCCCGCCGCTTGCAATTGCGTGGCATCTCAGGGGGCACTTTGGCATGCACGACGTCGACGGCGGAAAAAACTTTCTCCCGGCTGCAACGTGGGGTCCCGAGCCACGAAGGCCTAGGCGATAGGGCCGTTACGCGCGGGCGGGGTCCCACGGGGAGCCCACCATCTCGACCCGGGCCACCGCCGGGCGCCGCCGCCGCCACCGGTTCGTGGCTCGGCCTCCCCCCCTCGCCCTCGCCCTCGCACGCGCCGGCGCGGATGGGCGGGAGGCGGCGGACCCCCGCCGCGAGCTCCGACAGGCTCCGCACGCCGATGGCGCTCCTGGCGTTGCCGAAGTTGACAACGGCCGCGGAGCAGGAGTAGCGGCCGGCCTCGGTGACCAGGAACTCGGCGCGGACGAACATGAGGTCGGAGGGGCGCAGGTCGCTCCACCGCTGCTGCGCCGCGGGGGCCGTCTCGCCCTCGCACCCGCCCGCGGTGCTCACCAGGATGCGGTGCCCGAACCGCCGGTCGAACGCCACGGGGTCCGGCTCCGCCACCACGGCCGCCGGCTCCACCAGCAGCACCCGGTCCTTGCGCACCTTGGCGCCGTCGAAGCACCCGACCGCGGCGCCGCCGTCGGCCGACCGCCGCGAGGCGGGGCCGACGCCCCGGCGCGCGCACTGAACCCGTGGAGTGCCGGCCGGAGATCCTCCGCCCGGACTGCGCGGGCGTTGGAGCTGGAGCAGGAGGCGGAGGCGGAGGCGGAGCAGGCTCTTTGGCAGACGCAGCAGCCGCCGCTTTCGTCTCCGGCGGGTCAGGGGGGCCCGTGGTAGACGGCTTGGGTGGCTCCGGGAGGAGGAGGACGTCCTCCGGGTCGACGCGGGAGCGGCAGAGCGGGCAGGTGGAGTGCGCGTCGAGCCACGTGTCGACGCACTCGACGTGGAAGCCGTGGCGGCACTTGGGCAGCAACCGGAGCGCCTCCGTGGGCTCGAACCGGCCGAGGCAGACGGCGCACTCGAGGCCTTCCTTCTGCCCGCGCAGCGCGCCGAAGCGGAAGACGGGCAGGGACTCGACGACGGCGCGGTCGACGCCGGAGTTCCTCCTGTCCCCGCCCCCCGCGCCGCCGGCGCCGGAGGACCGCAACCCGCCGCCGGCGCTCCCGTAGGGCCCCGACGACTCCGCGGCGCTGCGCTTGCAGTGCTTGGCGTAGAGCAGGAGCAGGAACGTGATGGAGAAGACGCTGGTGAGGATGCCGACGACGACCGCCACCCCGGGGCGGAACGGCGTGGCCGAGGACGGCGGCGGCGGCGACGGCAGCGGCGACTCGATGGCGCCGTCGTAGTCCGACAGCAGGAGCCGCCGCGACCGCTCCATCGCCTCCTCCTCCTGTCGCAGCGCAGGCCAGGCGAAGCTTCGCAGGCGATCGGTCGAGGCCGAGCCACCCCACACGCGCTGCTGCGGTGGTGCTGGGTGTGGCTGGCGCTGCCGCTAGCCGCTGCTGCCACCACAAGCGTTCGCGATTTGTAATCAAGCGGTAGTAGGGGTAATAATAGCGGTGGAGACTAGGCTAGGTTATAGGCTAGCTCTTCCACCAGTGATTTTTTTAACACCTTTTTTTTCTCCGTTCACTTCGCTTAAAAAACAAGCCCAAATAATATTCCGACCGATTTGTTGTGAGAAAAAAATATTGTTCTGACTAAAAAAACAAGTTGAAAAGTACGGATTATAAGAGAAGCGAACAAGGTCTTTGTAAACTAATTTTAAATCTAACACTGTTTAATTTTTTTTCCAAAACTAACACTTTTGGCCATGCCTATATCCCTAGCGCAGCGAAACGCCTGTGCCGCGCCATGCATGATGGCGCGGCGAGAGGGGTGACGTGGCGATGACCAGGGCGCTGACCGGTGACATGGCAGAGTCTGCAGCGCCACCGATCTTGGCGCAGCAGTGACGCGCCCCCCCTCTGTCTGCCTCCCTGTCGCTCTGCCTGCTCGCCTGGCCGCCTTGCCTGCCCGCCTCGCCGCCGCCTGCTGCGTCGCGCGCCCGCTCGCACGCTTGCCGCCGACCGCCCGTCGCGCCACAAACACCGGCGTGCCACAGCCGTCGCTCGCCCGCCGCGCCCGCACGCCACCACGACGATGACGCCCGCACGACCACGACGACGACGCATGCCGGCAGCGAGTAAGATTGATTAAAGTCCTAAATAAGTGCTAATTTCGGTTTAGGCATTCCTTTAATTAGGTTAATTAAGATCTTGTCTAAGTATAAGCTCTAACAATTGGTATCTGAGAAACCGCTTAGCCTAATTCTTGAACTGTAAGATCTAATTAGTGTTTCGTTAAGATCTAAATAGCCTTGGATTTGTTCGATTCAAAGTTCTTTAAGCCAAATCAGAATATAGGGTTTCGCTTAAGCACCGAGAAGGAGGGGAGTCGAATCAACTTCAACACTATGCCTCAGTTTTTGCCCAAATCCGAACCCTAGGAATGCAAATTACCCAAATTCGGTAACAATCCTCAACCCTAAGATCAGTAAGACGCTTTTCACTTATCTTAAGAACTAAGATGGCGCCGTCGGGCTCCTTCACGAGTTCACCGGCGGCCACAAAAGGGAGCCACGCCGCCGCCCTGCTATGTGCGCGCGTGGTCTCCGCGCCACGGACGCCTGCCGCGCCATGGACGCCCGTAGGCAAAGAAGACGAGGGCAGCAGGTCCATACATAGAAGTTGCTTATTTTCGTAGTAAAGTTATTTAATATGTCTGTTGATGTTACTTTGAATATATACATGTGCTTTCATATTGTGTTCGTATTGCCTAACAAGTAGTTTAAATTTTGCAATGCTACGTAATGTTAATTTGAATATTATTAATTTGAATACTCTATTATCAATTTCTAACAGGATGGCCCCTCCCACGCAGCACCAGTTGTACTCCCTTCTTGAGGTGGAGTACGACGACCCGCACCGAGCACACTTCTTGACTGACACTGACGCAGAGATGCCCTTGCCTCCTTTGAGGCCCCGCACGCACACCAGGCCGCACCAGTGGGACGAGCGTTACACGTCGTACATACAGCGTGTCGGCTTCCTCGAGCTTGTTCGTGTTGTCAACTATGGTCTTTCGCCCCTTGACCCAACAATACTTAATGTAGCTGTAGACAGGGGCGAGTGCCTTCATTGTACGTAAACATTCTTATAACAAATTTGAGGTAACTAACAATGGTTCTATTCTTATAACAGGTGGAGGCCTGAGACCCACACGTTCCACCGACCTTGCGGCGAGATGACCTTGACCATGCAGGACGTGAAGGCTATCTTTGGCCTTCGGTTGGGGTGATTTCCAGTGACTGGTATAGTTGACAACGATCACTGGAGGAAGCTGGTGGCTCAGTTCACTGACTTTCTTCCACCGAACGACGAGGTTTTCAAGAAAAATAAGTGAGCAATTCAAGCCTATTTAATACTTGCATTGTTTTCCTGCAACCATCGGGTCTCATTTTCTTTGGTGAATTTTAAGAAAAGTTCCGGTGTTTCGTCATCGTGGATCACAGAGCGCTTTGATTACTTGGACCCATAGGCTGATGAGGCTCAGATCGATAGGTTCGCTAGAGTGTGGCTTTGGCACTTCCTTGGTGCTTTCCTATTCCCAAACGCCTCGGGCAACACCATCAGCTGGATCTTTCTTGACATACTACGCTAGTCATGGGATAACATAGCGGCGTACAGCTGGGGCAGCACAGTCCTGGCATGGACGTATCGACAGCTATGCGTTGCCTGCCGTCGCACCTCAGGGTATGCGAACCTTGGGGGTTGCTCCTACCTATTCTAGATTTGGTGTTGGGAACGATGGCCCGTTGGGAGGCCCCTTGTTACTGGTTTACCGGAAAGTACTTCGGTTCACTATATTTTTCGAGTCAGTTACATATGATGAAATTATTGATGGCTAATTCATTATCGTGTTCAATGCAGCATTAGAACGGGCAGGATACACTCCCTACAGCTCTGTATATCTGGACGTAAACAGAGTTAGTTAGAGGCAATGCGAGGCGCAAGTACAGGGAGTACACGGACTGTCTCGACATCCTGACACAGCACCAGGTTACGCTCTCTTTACTATCACAACCTAACTCAATTACAAAATATTCAGGTGATTGGTGTCCATGGGATGCTCCGGAGCTCCAGTACTATCTGAGTCCTGTCACTAGGGATGAGTAAGACGAGTATCGCTGCAACGTCCCTCTTATTTTCTTCCACGTGGTCGAGATTCACTTGCCCATCAAGGTTTGCAGGCAGTTTGGAAGAATAACAAGCTACCCACCACCGCTTTACTCCACCAACCAAGAATTGCACGTTTGCATTATCGATTAATAACAAAGCTACAATTCAGAGGTGTGTATGGTACAATTAACAATCGTTTGTTGTAGGTATGACCGCAGGAAGAGGTACAAGACCAAGGATTGACGCGTGACACACAACGCGTACATCCAGTTGTGGTAGAATAGGGACCGACAGCCGGTCGATGGGGGTCCCCCACACGACCCGCACACCTTCGATGAGTACCTGTGGTGTCTTCACAGGTCTACGAGGACACATATCAAGCCCCCGTACACTGAGGAGGCGATTGACGAGGATAACGCGGAAGATGTGATCGAAGATGGGTACGACGTTGCCACTAGGGACGACACACAACTACAGAGAGCTCCGCTTCAAAGATACATGGTAAGATACTCGAATGGTACAATTTGTTATCCATTTGATATTAAGTATGTGTACTAAAACAATCCAACCGCGTTTCTATACCCAGGCGACACAATTGTCAAGGCTGTCCAACGAAGTAGTGTTTCAGCTTCACGACTCTAGAAGGCAGGGGCCAGGCGTTCTCGAGGCTTTTGTGGAGGTAAACATAAACTTATGCGTTCCGAAAATGTTTCTTTAGTGTATATACGTTTGGAAAATGCACTAACTTTAACGTCTATTTATACAAAAGGTGAAGCGGAGTTGCAGGATGCTAGCTCAAAAGTTGAGCTGCATGGACACTCCTTGGGTGGAACCCGATTACCCGGCGCGGTCGGGTGGCACGTCTTCTGGCTCTTTGAGAACACCAGCCGACTCTTCTCAGCCGATGACAGGTGCCGCATCCGCAATGCGTACACCACCACATCATAGTGCTGGGAAGGACCCTGTAAACAAGGACGACCCCCAGGCTTCCGCATACAGCATCACCAGTGGAACGATTGGCAGCAGGACGAGATCGGCTTGTCTCAGCTTGGTGGTGCCCCACTTAGTACCAAAGGAGCCTCACAGGTAGTAACAAAGGTAGTTTCTTTAAATACGTAGGCTCCATGAACTAACGATCATAAAGATTATAAGTAATCGTGCATATCATATACTTGCAGGGTACGAGCCGTACGCACCGGCAACACGACGACACCGACGTTGGCTACACTCCCAATGTGTTGCCTACAAATTCGAAGAGACAGGGGCGTCCGAGGGATAATTACACTCTTGGGACTTAGTTAATTATGTCGAACTTAAGTCGAACGAATATTGTCGTCCGAAACTTATAGACTTAGTTAGTTGGTTATGTCGAACTTATGTCGAACCAATAAAAATGTTATGTGCCAACTTGTCAACTTGCGCACGGACTCCATTTATTTGCTTCATATTCGTTTCAATGCGCCGTGGCACTTGTAGTTGTTCAGCTCCCGTTCAATTGCAATTGAAGGCTGGTCGGCTTCTGTCTGCGTACAGGTCCCGCTGCGCCGTGGGCCTTGACGCGTCAGTGCCGCGCCAAGATCGGTGGCGCGACAGACCTGGCTACGTCACCGCTGCCACGTCACCGATCAGCGCCCCGGTCGTCGCCACGTCATCCCCTCGCCGCGCCACCATGCATGGCGTGGCACAGGTGTTTCGCCGCGCCAGAAAAATAGGTGCGGCCAAAAGTGTTAGTTTTGAAAAAAAAAATTTAAACAGCATTAGATTTAAAATTAGTTTACAAAAGATATTAAAAATTAAAAAAAATCGCAGCAGTGGGGACGGTGAGCCGATCTCCCGGCGATGGGGCCTCGTGGCGGGGAGACGAGGCAATGGGGGCCTGAAAGAGTGGGCCCACGTCAGCTGCGCTGCTCCGCCGGTGAAGCCACCCGCGTGCGGCTTGTCGCCGAGTGAAGCGAGCTGAGAGAGAGTGGCATCAGTACAGTACACAGGGGGCACTGACAGTTTAGTTGTGGCACCGTGGGGCCATGTGTCAGACTATGAACGCAGTTTGTTTTATTTATTTATTTTATTCCCTAGAGAAAGGCGACGAGCGCAGCACCGCAGCATGGCCGGATGGGCTGGGGAGCAGAGACAGCCCGTCAAGCGTCAATACAAATCG